GACAATTTGTATTATATTTTTCAACGGTTCCAGCTTTCTGTATTTATACATTTAGTAAGATACTTACCCTGGCCAGGTTTCTAAACACTACTAACAATTCTGAAATATAGAAATCAAGTAATGAATACAATTCCTTGTCTCCTTGTATTAGCATGGTGTTGATTAATTATGGCTTCATGTGATCTAATGGCTTGATTCTGAAGGCTTGCAGAATATTGCCTGTTTTATTTGGGTTTTTCCTTCCTGGAAGACCCTTCCTAAGCAGGACTTGGATTCCTGCCTCCCTGCGTTTGCAGGGACTGCTCTATTTACATCCTGAGCAGTTCTGAAATGACACTGAAAGTGGGCCGGTGTCTGTGCCTTCACCAAGAGTAGTCAAGTGCCTTGCCCGAGGTCTCCCCATCAGTAAACATCTGAGTTGGGCTTCGAACCCGGGTAGTCTGATTCCAGAACACAGGTGCGGAGTCACTTTGTTTTTTCTCAGACTGTGAAGCTTCTACATAAAGAGACGTGGAAACAGTTGCCATGTTTCACGAAGGTTCCTTTCTGCAGGCGGTCTACACCTATGTGCTGCTATGGTTGAGAATACTTGAGTCACATGGCATGGCTTTGGAGTCTGGCTCTGCTTTTTCCTGGCTGGGTGACCTCAGGCAAGTTATATAACTTTCAAAGCCTCTGTGAATGCCTCTGCAAAGTGGGAACATCAATAATTCTAGAAGTTTATTGAAAGGTTTAAAAGAGACAAATGGTATGGAGTGCTTAGTAGAATATCTGACACGTGAGCCCTCAATATTTTAATCGTTACTATTAATAGAGGTAAAGTACAAAAATATACAGATCTCTATTTCTCATGTTTCTGTATGCCTCTAGAGAAAAAGAGAGAAAGAGAGAAAGAGAAAGAGAAAGAGAGAGAGAGAGAGAAACAAACAAACAAACAAATAAATAAATAGTCTCTTTTTAGTGCCCTGAGCTCACTGTGGGCTTTGACATTATGCCCTAGACAGAGGCAGCAGTCAAATTCTACATTTAGACATAAGCACCCTTACAAATTTTAAGAAATAAAGGTCAAAAGCAGCTTTCGTGCCCCCAACATACTCACTTGTGAATCGGGACTGGCGGCCCCCGAGCCCGCACTGCCGCACCTTACGCCCTCGGAAGAGCCCATAGTAAATGTCCCCAATGAATTTGACCAGCTCTGGATCCGTGGCATTGACCAGATCCACTCCAGTCTGACAGAGGATCTTCCCACTCAGCCAGTGGGGCACTGCCAGGGCAACGATGATCAGCATGAAGGAGGAGAAACTGAGTAAAGATGCCAGCCCGTACCACGCCTTTTTGAACCACCCAGGCATGCTAGTGGGTGCAGGTCATCCCCAAGGTCTCTGAGCAACAGCAGGGGGCCTTGACATCTTCCAGACATTCGGCAATGCCCTGCTGCAAGTTCAGCTCTTCCAAACACACTATTTCAGGCTTCCAAGTCCATCCCCTCTTCCTCTCTCAGTGCCTGCCTCCACAGCCCGTGTTTACTGTGATCACATCCAGAAGCCTCTGCAGAGACAATCTTCACCTGACTCTGTGCAGCGGAGTGTGTTACTGAAGGAAGTAACAGATACCGCCCGCTAGACTAATGTTTCAGCAGAGGGTTTAATTGTTCCTCATTTCAAGTATTTAAATAACCCTGGCGTGGACCTCATAATGTTGAGAGAATTATTAACAGGAAAAACCAGGTAGGACTGTTGATAAAGAGATGCTAACCAGTCTCAAAAAATGCATACGGTAGAACAAAGGGAATGGGATGCACTTGAACATTGCCATCAACGCACAGTATCAAATATCGGTCTGTTTGATGCATGCCCTGGCATTTCCTTCTCTAAAATGTCACTGCTGTCAGAATCCCCAGAACTGTTACCAATGTCATGAAATGACCCCTGTTCTGAAGGCTTTAATTAAAATGTGTAAACAGGGCTTTATGGATTTATCACTGGGTGAATCTGCCGAGGGTAAAATTGCAACACGAATCAATTTGTGGCTGCTGCAGCAGCCTGGATCCCAACAGGTAATATTCCCTCTCCCCCACCTTCCATGTCATCTGAAATGGGACAGAAAAGTGTTTTTCTAATGTGTTAGCAAATAGTAGCTATACGGTGGGGTATTTATTTCCTGTAATAGTGAAGATCTGTTTTTTCCTTTTAACCTGTAGCACTAGGAATGAAATATTCTTTACTTTCTATCTTATACAATGCCTTTTTTTTTTTTGGCTTTTACCATATTGCCAAATGGCAAATTAATGTCATTAGAGACTGGCAACAGCCACTCTGTCAACACCTTTGAGAAGCAAAATTGGGCAGGAGCGGCACAGTAAAATTCCTCATTTGGTTACAGAAGTTTGGAGGGGCGTCAGGAGTTTGTATTGTTGACAAATAGGAGTCCTAAGAATCTCACTGTAGAGTACTGTAGAGGTGGTAGAGGGACATGTTAATGGAAAGGCCAGGATCCTTCCTTATAATTGGGGTTCACTTCAGTAGCCTCTTTATGATGAAAACAATCAAGAGTGCTCCCGAAGCTTCTGTGGAGTTTTGCCATGTGCAAAAGGTTTTTACCAAATGCTTGCTCAACACTGATGCATCAGCAACCTTTTGTGGTAGGCAGGGAATGTAATATTCCAGCCATTTCTTTCACTGGAAAACTGAATGTCAGCATTGGGGCTGGAATTCAGGTCTTCTAAATACAACAGCTCGTCCTCATTACGTGACCTTGAAATAGCAAATGTTTTTCTGGTAATAAATTATATAATACATATAAACGGCTTACGAGACTGCTTGGCACATTGATAAGTGATCTTTCATGTTAGCTAACATTATAACATTAACCATGCTTTGAGACACATTTCTGCCCTGAATGATGATGGACCTATGTCAGCTTTTGGTGTTTTAGGGGTTGAGCAATTATTTTTAGAAAAACTCCATGGGAAATACCTGATACCCAACAAGGCCATGCCATGTGAGGACCTGGGTTTAAATTCACACTCCTCTGGGCAAATGTCTGAGACTGATGCCTCAGTTTTCTTTCTTTCTTTTCTTTGTGGCTGGCTGGTCAGAGATCTGAACCTGTGACCTTGGGGTTGTAAGGCAGTGCTCCAACCAACTTAGCTAACTGGCCAGCCCTTGCCTCAGTTTTCTAATCTGTCAGAGAACTGTTGAGTGGAGTAGAGTAAAATATTGCAGATCACTTAGCATACTGCCTGGCATATAGAGGACGCTAAATAAATGGTGCTTTCCCCTCCATCCGGTCTTCTAGCAATTCTGTTTCTGATTATGAAGCGTTTGACGATAAACTGTGTTGCTGGTTGCATCCTGTTCTCTAATGACATATTTCTGTGTGCCTTATCTGGCATGTTTATTGAAGTAACATCTGTGTCTGCTGTGTGGGTGGGAATTGGCACAAGTATAATATGGGGTCCTATAACCAAGAAGGTTATAACAGTGTTAGGGCACTAGTTCTCAACTAACAGTGTTTTGCCTCCAGGGCACATTTGGCAAGAATATTTTTGATTTTGATGACTGGGGGCAGGGACCTGCTACTGGCATCTAATGGATACAGGCCAGGGATGCTCAAAATATCCTACAATGAGCAGGACAGCTCCCATCACAAAGAATTATCTGGTCCAAAATGTCAATAATGCTACTGCTGAGAAATCCTGTGTTATGGGTATGGGTCATAGGCATAAATAACTAATATACAAGGGAGAAAATGCCCCGATCTGTGGCTGGGGATGGGTGGCACCATTTGGTGGGCCTCAAATTGGATTTTCGATATTCTTGTCAAATGAAGCCTTACATACATGAATAGAGGCTCCAGGACAGACCTAACACTTGATAGTGTTAAACTTGTGCCCTTACCAGACCAAAGGCCTGTTGTGCCATACGTACTAACATCTTTTTAGAAATCTTGCAATAGTTTTCCATGGTATTTTTTTTTTTTTGTCTTTTGTCTTTTTCCGTGTCTGGCAACGGATCGCAACCCTCGGTGTTGCCCCCGCGCCTCGCTCAGCCAGTGAGCGGGAACCGGTCTGTATGTGGGATCCGAACCCTCGGGCAGGAGCGCCACCGCGCTTCCCAAGCGCCGCACTTATCCAGTGCGCCACCAGGCCGGCCCCGGTATTTTTTGTTTTAAAAGCATTAATTTGTGAAGTGTAAACACTTAAAATATAGTATGCCACAATTTTTGTATCACTGTTTTGGCAATTTTTTATTTTAAAATATGCTCCCCAATATATATTTAAATATCCTCCACCTGCCAAAACGGAAGAGGCCTGGAACTCACAATCTCTAAGAAGCTCAGTGAATTCTAACGGTAAAAAGTGGTGGCGAAGACAATAATGTGAATAATGATCAATTCGCATTTATCGAATTCCTACCACTAGCCACAGACTGATCTAAGCACCCTAGTATTACCCTTTACCATCTTTTCCAAAACCCCGTGAAGACAGATCATTATTATTCTCATTTTACTGGCGAGGAAACTGAGGCACTGAGCTGTTAAGGAAGTTGCTTAGGCCACACAGCTATGAAGCAGTTGGGGCCAGGCAGTTGGGCGTCAGAGCCTTCACTCTTAGAGGAAAACAAAGTATATTTTAAGTGGCTTGTCTTGTTCTCTGCAATGGATCCTCCGCTCTTTGAGCGGAGAGGACACCTACACTCGCCAACACCCCTCCCCGTCGTTCCCGATCCTTGGCCCGGCGCCCTACAGGCCCAGGGTGGCCAGCACCTACGGACGGGCGGGCCGCGCAGTTTTGCCAGGATCCCCCGCCCCGGGGCGGAGTAGCCCGGGGTCGGGGCACAGCCGAGGACGCGCGTGGCCGTGCACTAGGCGGCAGCAGCGGGCGCGGCGCGGGGGAGGGTGCAGCGCGGTCCCTCTTGGCTGGGTATGCCGCCGGGGCGGGACGGGGCGGGGCGCGGCGCTAGGACTCGGGTATTTGGAGCTGCGGGAGCCGGCAGCCAGGCGGGGAGGAACATGATGGCTGCGGCGGCTGCGGGCGAGGGGCGCCGGGTGCTGGTGTACGGCGGCAGGGGCGCGCTGGGCTCGCGATGCGTGCAGGCGTTCCGGGCCCGCAACTGGGTAATGCCGCGGGCTGGGGGGCGGCGGGTGGCTGCCGGGTCTCCGCCTGGAGGGGCGGGCACGATGGTGATGGGGGGCCAAGGGGCTTTCTGGTGCAGCCTGGGATGGCAGACTGGAGGAAACTGAGGCCCCCTGTGCACCCGGCTGCTTGCACGGGCGTGCACGGGTCTACACGTGTATTCCTGCCTCTGAGTGCGCGCGCGCGCGCCGGGCCCTCGGTGCGGGGCCTTTGCTCTTCAAGGAGGGTGGCCGTGGGGGCTGCTCCTTCGGCCTCCGCCAGGCCCCGAAAGTCCGACATGACTCGGAAGAGAATGCCAGAGAGGGAGGAAGCGCAGCGGAGGTGAGGGGACAGGGACAGATGATATAGAAGGGAGGCCCTGTAATTAGACTGCCTGGGTCGGGTTACTATGACCGCGAATTGGTTACTTAACGGCGCGAACCTCAGTTTCCCCATATGTGAAATGGGGATAATGATAGTGTTTATCCCTTAGGGGAGTTGTGAGGATTAAATGAGATAATTGGTGTCTTTGCATGTAAATAACGTGACGTGATAAAAGCTGTTTAAATGCTGGTGATTGTTGATGTTACTGTTACTACCCCTGTTCCTTTAGCCCCGTTGGACCTGGCGGTTTGAAGGCCCAGCTCCGCCAATACTGACGGCCTTTGCTTTGCAAAGAATATTTCAGCTACTTTGCACAGTCAGGTTTCCACTCCCAGTAGGCAGCAGGTCGGAGCAGAGCCCATTGGTGGCCAGGGACCGATGACTCCAGCCGATCAGCAGGGCTCAGCATATTCCCAGTGGAGACTCCTTTCTGTGTCTTCTCGCTGCCACTGTCACTTGCTCTATGTCGGTCCTGGAGCTCTGGAGCACCTTCCTGGGAGTTTAGGTAGCAGCAGCAGCTCGGGCAAGGGATTCCCTGGGACGAGGAAGAGGGTTTCTTCTTGCCCAAAATCTGGTACAGGGATTTGCTTCTAAAGGATTTAAAACTCACCATCCCCTTCCTGCCACCTACATGCTCAGTACCTGGAAAGACTGATTAGGGCATCTTCCCAGGTCTGCAGATATGCCTGGTGGTAACCATGGCAGCATTTAAGGAGTGCCTGCCAAGGGCCATTGCTCCTACAGACTCTTAATTTCATTTAATCCTGCCAGTAACTGTAATGGGGTAGATCCTGTTAGTATCCACATGTTACAGATGGGAAGGCTGTGCTTTCCCCTGATGGGGCTCTTCGGTTTACCTAGGACTTGGCAGAATCTGGTGAGCTGATTTACGTGTGATGGTCTTTTTCCACCTTCCTTCTTAAGGGAGGGCTGGGATGGAGACTTCTTTGCCTAAGTATCCCCCATGGCTTGTGTTAGAGAAGTAATAGTGTTGTTCAATGGATGCTGTGTTTACATCTTAAGGTAGAGATATTTATCTCTGGGACCCTCAGACTGAGGGACCCTGGAGCTTTCTGAATAAGATCCGAAAGTCACCTGTGCCAGGAGATTTAGCATCTCCATTTCATTTAATTCGTACGCTTATTCTTTTAATCATTGACAACCCCCAGGATGGGGGTGAGAAAGGTAGTATGTGACAGAGCCAGGTTACAAACCCCAACCTGTGGTGTTCCCAAACCCGAAGCCCATTCTCTGCTAGGGCAGGAGTCCTCCGAACTATGGTCCTCTGTGGGCCAAGTCTGGTCTGCCACCTGTTTTTGTATGGCCCAAGAGCTGAGAATAGTTTTGCATTTTCACATGGTCGGGAAAAAAGTCAAAAGAAGAATAATATTTTGTGACATGTGAATATTATATGAAATTCACATTTCAGCCTCTGAAGATTTACCAGAACATATTCTTGCTCATTTGTTTCCTGTTGTTTGTAGCCGTGCTCTCCTGTCACAGTAGTAGATGTGAGTAATTATGACAGACACCATATGGCCAGCAAAGCCTAAAATAAATACTACTGGCTCTTTAGAGAAAATTTGCCCCTAGAAGGGCCAGGGTTTGGCTTTTAGAAGTGAGCATGGAGGAGGAGGAGGAGGGCTTGGAGGCAGGATGGGCTGGGATGGGGCACAGCAAGGGGTAGAGTGGCCAAAGCCAGACGTCCCTGTAAGGAGTGCAGGAGGTCAGCTGCTAGTTCCTTTCTCTTGTGGGTTTTATTTAAGCCTCTTATCTGTCTCCACTCCCCCCACTTCTGGGTGTAGATCTTTAAAGGACTGATAGTTCTTGACCAAAGCTATTTTCTCCTTTTGTTCCAGTGGGTCGCCAGCATTGACGTGGTGGAGAATGAAGAGGCCAATGCTAGTGTTGTTGTTAAAATGACAGATTCGTTTACTGAACAGGCTGACCAGGTAATTCCAGAAAGTCTCCCCAGACACCGTGGTAAGGGGAACCCGGGGGAAGGGTTTCCATTGGCTATGTGTTCTTCCTTTTCCTCGCAATTATTGTTTCTCTAATTATGAAAACCATCTGTGCTCATGGAGAAAAATTTGGAAAAAGAGGAAGAAAAAAGTACAAAGATATAATCCATTTCTAGTTAGCTCACTGTTAGCATTTTGGCCTGTTTTCTTGTCTTTCCAATGCACACTATTTATTATTACTTTTAGAAGTTGAGGTCATTTTGTATTTTATGATCAGCTTTTTTTTTTTAAACTTTAATTTAAATACTTCTTCAGATCACTAAAAAACCTCTTTGTTAGAGGTGTAATCTTTCTTTTTATAGATTGGCCACAGTTTACTTAGTTTCTACTAATTGTGCATCTGTTTGTTTGTTTTTTTACTATTATCAAGTATGCTAGGGGCCGGCCCGGTGGCGCACTGCTACAGTGCGCCGCTTGGGAAGTGCGGCGGCGCTCCCGCCGAGGGTTCGGATCCCACATACAGACCGGCCGCTCACTGGCTGAGCAAGGTGCGGGAGCAACACCGAGCGTTGCGATCCCGTTGCCGGTCCCGGTCCAGTACGGGCGTGACACTGAGGGTTGCGATCCGATGCCGGTCAGGAAAAAAGACAAAAAGGAAAAAAAAAAAAAGAATGCTGGGGTGAACGTCTTTGTGTGCATATCTGATTCTTTAGGATAGATTGTAAAAAGTGGAGTTACCCAGTTCAAAGCATGAACACTAACAAAACAGGTAATTTTTAATTATAAAATTATATGCATATCATAAAACAAGAAGTTTTACAAAAACATACCAACATACAACAAAACCATATAAATATATAATAAACTGTGAAATACTCCTTTTTCTCCCCAACATAATATCACTCCCCAGAAGGAAGCCCTGTTAACAATTTGGTGGCTGGAATCTGGGCTCCTGGCAGCAGGACATGGCTTGAGAACAGAGGGCGGGTGTAGCCAGGGCAACGCCGGGTAGAAGGAGGAAGGTCAACAAAAGATAAATGAGGACTAGGTAGAGGCAAAGGGAAATTCCGGAATCTTCTTGAAAGGAAAGCGTTAAGTGTAGAGTGTAGGGAGAGGGAAGATTGGTTTCCACCGCCTCAAAAATTGTTGGGAGAGAGGTGATGGGCTCACATGTGGCTGCTGGGAGAGACACACAGTCTTGATTGAAGTCTTAAGAAGATTGATCTTAATGAAGCAATTGAGAGGCGTCACCACAGCCATTCCAGAAAAATATGGGAGTCGTGGTCAATGGCCAGAATTGCCCATCTCCCCAGATTCGTCTTTTAATAAATTGCAACAGGAAAGCATGAATATATTTTCACACCATCTTAGAAGTAGAGAGATCATTAAAATGAACCCTCATGTACTCAATATTTACCACCATTTTGCCCTTGACTGTAGCTTTTTCTTGCTTTTGCTCTTATAATTCTTCTTTAGCGTTTTCTTTGGAGTTGCAGTTAAAGGAATTTTTGAATTGGGGGGACAGTAGAATGAATTATCTTTTCAGAATAGGATTCTATGATGTGTGAGGAAAGTCTGGAAAGGAATGTATCAGAATGTTAGCTGTGGGCCATGAAGGTCTATCTAGGTGATTTTTTTTTTTTGGTGACTGGCTGGTACAGGGATCTGAACCCTGGACCTTGGTGTTATCAGCACCACTCTCTAACCAGCTGAGCTAACTGACCAGCCTAGGGGATTTTTTAAAAAACCTTTTCCTACTTTTCTTTATTATAGTTTTATTTCAGGAGGTGCATATTTCCCTACCTTTTAGAATGTTTATAAGGAGACTCTAGGTTGCTTTATAAAAACCGTGTTGAAATGTAGTTGGGCTTCATTATCCAAAATGCTCATCAGAGATTAATTAGTCCTTCATCTAATTTGAAAATGTTAATTGCCAGGTACTGGAAACTGGCTTAAAAAGAAGAATAAGAAAACCGAAGTTTCTGTAGAGTTGCTAGCCTGTTTCAGTTTACCTCACGGTTTATGCATCTTTTCCTTCCTTTTGTTTAAGGTGACTGCAGAGGTGGGAAAGCTCTTGGGTGAGGAGAAGGTGGACGCCATTCTTTGTGTGGCTGGAGGATGGGCCGGGGGCACCGCCAAGTCCAAGTGTGAGTCCCTCTCTGAGTTAATCATCCATCCCACTCTGCCCTTCGTCCAGCTGACTCGGATTGGGTAGAGACGAGGCTCCAGGCCAGCTGTTTTGTTATGTGACTTCCAGAACCTTTACAGTAGCTCTGTGAGGTAGTGTTAACTCCCCCATTTTACAGATGAAGACACTTCCTGTGGAGGAGGTGAGGCAAGGTGTTGAGTTTGAAGTTTAAAGTACAGGCAGAATGAAATCAACGTCATTTCTGTCCCACCCTTACAGCAGTTATTACTGTGCAGGAATTAGGGGATGTATGTGAATTGGAGAGATCATCCTAAAGGTCAAAAGACCTCAAAATTGAGCTTTTACTAAAGTTCATGACATTTTTCAACTTTTTATTTGGAACATTTTCCATCATATAGAAAAGTTGAAAGTTCAGGGAGCACCCTTACACCCTCCGTCTAGGTGCAGTAATGGTTAGCATTTGCCCTGCTGATGCTCTCTGGCTTTCTTGCGTGTGTGCACGCTGTATTTTTTTTGTTAACCATTTGAAAGTGAGTTGACACTAACATATTGACCGTATTTCAGCATGCATCTCCAAGGAATAAGCCCATCCTCCTATAACATCATGGTACCATTGTACCAAAGAAAATTAACAGTAATTCTGTAAGATTAATAATAGCCAGCCCACATTCGGATCACCCCCAATTTATTCTGTGTCTGTTATAGTTGTCTTTTTCCCTAACATATTGCACGCAAGGTTTATACACTGCACTGTGTTGTTGTTTTTAGTCTCTTAGTCCAGAATTTTTTTCCCCCATAATAAAACTTTCTGGCAATCCAGTTTTCACACGGAATGCCCTACTAAATTGACCGGTTCTTTAAGGTTTCATTCGACTTGTTCCTCTCTCCCTGGTCTTTCCTGTGAACTGAAATTTAGGTCTAGAGACTTGATTAGATTCAGGTTTAACATTTTTGAGGGGAGAATTCTTCTCGTGAGATGTTGTGTACTTTGTCCTATATCCCGTGGAAGCTCAGTACTTCCAACTGCCCTGCCCTTGGGGATGCCAAATTACCCTTGGGGATGCTTGGTAAAGGTGGTAACTGGCAGCCTTCCATTGTAAAGGTATATTTTCCTATTTGCAATGAGTAAGTGATCTGTGGGATGGTACTTTGGTATTGTGTGTGGATGTCCTGTTCCCCAAATACTTTTCATCTAATGGTTTTAAGCATCCCTGGAGAATCCCTGCCTGAAGCAGTTACCATATCGGGGGTTGGAAAATGGTAGTTTTCCAATTTTATCATTCCTTTTACTTTTATTAGCCAAAGACATTTAAAAAGGAATTGAAATTCTGTGAATCACACTTAAATGTGAGATTGGAATTTTGGGGGGGGGGGAATCAGGTTGACAAAACAGCCTGATGATCTTTTGTGTATCTTGGGAGCAAGAAGTAGTAAATGTGGACCCATCATTTTTTTTTTTTCCCTAGTCCTTTTTAGCAGGGAAATGTAATGCCTTGGGTAGCACCTACTCACCCCTCCTCCGATATCGGGAGGGCATTCTTCCCACTTCATGGGGTTCCACACACCTTGTAAATTGCCCAGTTGACCATGTGACATGTTACTGCTTGTTCCTCTGTACGTCTTTGGCAAGGCCTGAGGGCTAAAACAAGTGTGAAACGGTTGTTATTTCAGCCCTTTTTAAGAGTCTTTAAAGCTGGCATTAAACTTTCAGCCATAAAAAAATGTAGCTCTGTAAAAGCCCTCTTTATGGTCATACAGTAATAGTCCCTTGGATTTTTATCACGAGTAAAACATGACATAGACATATAGGTTCTTACTACAATCTAGTGTCCTTCATAGAGTAAAACAATCTTTGAGTTAAAACCAGTGCAGCAAATGTGTGCAACTCCAGATTTATTTGCTAAAATTTACTAGCTAATCCCTGTACTGGCCAGATGTCAGGGGGAGAAAATATTAGTTAAAATTTGAATAGTTTACAGGTAAGGAAGCTGATCACATGGCCAGGATTTGAACCCATATCTCTGTGACTACCAAGTCCTATGTTGTTTGTATTAGACCTTGTCGTGGACAGGGACCAGGGACCAGGGACTGGAGGACCGGGAGGGGCTAAGTAGGCTTTCTTGAGAGTAGGTCTGGGTGATTTGAGCTTGCCTTTTGCTTTCTTCACTGGGAATGCTGAGCCCACATGTTTTTTGGCTCAGCTCTCTTTAAAAACTGTGACCTGATGTGGAAGCAGAGCATATGGACATCGACCATCTCCAGCCACCTGGCCACCAAGCACCTCAAGGAAGGAGGCCTCTTGACCTTGGCTGGCGCCAAGGCCGCCCTGGATGGGACTCCTGGTAAGCCTTTACTTCCCTGTCTGTGGAATGGGAAAGCTCACGCTTGCTTGTTGGGGCTGCTGGGCATGGGATGAGGAATATTAAAGCCCTTTACCCTCTAAGGTGCTTTACAGTTGGATGGATTTTGCTTCCTTTTAGGCCTGAATCATTTTAGGGGGAAGAGTGTCCTGATCCTTTTGTTTGCATTCGTCCTCAGATTGATGGTGGTTAAGGAATACTGCAGTTTGGCACACCCTGCCAATCTGGTTAATTTATTGATGATCCAACCAGGAATGAATGATGTGGTAGATATTAATTAGTTAATAAACCTCTACTATTGTCATCACATTGTATCCATGTGTCCCAGGGAAGCAGCTTGGCAGCTGGAAGTGGCTTGGACTTTAGAATGAGAGAGGCTGGGGGTGGACTGTTGACCCTAGATGTGTGGCCTTGAACAGCTTCTCTGATCTCTCTGACCACATTTCTGCTGTAGTTTCTTTAATTGTAAAATAGTGACAGTAATATCTGACTTAAAGAATAGCTGTAAAGCTGCAGTGGTGTTGATATGCAGAAGGTCTCCAGCACACGGTAGGCACCAGTAAATGACAGGTCTTATTATATTCACTGTTTTTATTTCACAAATATTCTCTAATCCTGGGGTAGGCATTATTATTATCTTTTTCAATTTACAGGATAGGAAACTAAAACTTAGAGAGTTAAGTAACTTGTGTGGGCATATGCCATAAGTAAGTTGCAAATTTACCTTGAATCAAAACCCTGATCATTTCCAAATTGTGTGCTTTTTCCATTATATCTTGAAGACGTAAGTTTCCTTTGCTTATTTTACTCCCTGTATTAGTTTTCTAGGGCAGCCATAGACTTGGTGGCTTAAACAACAAAAATGTATTTCTTCACAATTCTGGAGGCTAGAAATCTGAGATCATGATGTCGGCAGGGTTGGTGTCTTCTGAGGCCTCTCTTGGCTGGTAGATGGCGGCCTTCTCCCTGTGTTTTCCATGGTCTTCCCTTTGTGTGTCTGTGTCCTAATTTCTTCTTCTTATAAGGATGCCAGTCATACTGGATTGGGACCCACCCTAATGACCTCATTTTAATTTAGTTGAAGATCGCCTCTTAAAATGTAGTTACATTCTGAAGTACTGCGGATTAGGACTTCAACATATGAATTTTTTGGGGATACAATTCAGCCCAAATCACTCCCTTAGGGATAGGGCAAAAGGAATTTAAATGCGGGGGGGGACAGCACAGGGCAGCAGCAAGTGTCTACCTCCATCATCTACATTAAACTTATCTTTAAAAAAAAAATGGGAGCTTTTTTTGCATCTTTTTTTTTTTTTTTTTTGTCTTTTTTGTCTTTTTCCGTGTCCGGCAACGGATCGCAACCCTCAGTGTTGCCCCTGTACCGGACTGGGGACCAGCAACGGGATTGCAACCCTCGGTGTTGCTCCCGCGCCTCGCTCAGCCAGTGAGCGGGAACCGGTCTGTATGTGGGATCCGAACCCTCGGGCGGGAGCGCCGCCACGCTTCCCAAGCGGCGCACTTATCCAGTGCGCCACCGGGCCGGCCCTTTTTGCATCTTTTTAGTAAGTGATAGAGACCTTGGGTATCTTCTCAATTTTAATATAAATCACCGAATTGTGGGGCTTTTACTAATTAACAGTTTCTTGCCACTCATTTTCTTTTTTAAAAAAGATGACCGGTAAGGGGATCTTAACCCTTGACTTGGTGTTGTCAGCACCACGCTCACCCAGTGAGCAAACTGGCCATCCCTACATGGGATCCGAACCCGTGGCCTTGGTGTTATCAGCACCGCACTCTCCTGAGTGAGCCACAGGCCAGCCCATTGCCACTCATTTTCTTATTACATTTCTCAGTGCATGTGATCTTACAAGACCATGGCTTTTGCAATAATTAAAGCTGTGTAAATGTTAAGTGTCCCCGTTTGGTTGAGATCTGATTTTTATTAAAGGTGACACTGACCAGAGGCACTAGAAAGTAAACAGAGAAGTGAGTAACAGCTTGACATTTAAAAAACAACACCCTAAGACTGAAAGACTAATTTTTCTGAAGGAAAAAATAGTCTCCTACTTTGCTTTGGTTCGTAAGTATCTTTCTTTGTTTACATTTTTGGTTAGTGGTTAAGCTGCAGGCTCTGGAACCACACAGGTGGGTCTTCTGTTGTGGCTCTGCCTCTAATTTACTGTGACATATTTGGCGATTCACTTAAGCTCTCTGAGCCTTGGTTTTTGTTATTAATAAAATAGGGATAAATAATAATATCTTCTTCTTTGTATGGTGGTATGACTTGTAAACATCTTAATGGATGTAAATGGCTTAGAAAGGGATTACAGTGAGTCAGTAGTAAATGCGAGCTATTATTATTATTTACTCCAGGCTTACTTTTGCCCAACTCCTATGGGCAAAAGATTAATAAGTTTGTTCATGTTTAAACTCAGGGTAGGTGTTGTTAAACTAATGTGAATCATGAGATCTTTTAACTTTGGTTCAGACCCCAGAAAAACCTGGGGAAATCTATAATTAGAAAGTAAATAGTGAATCAGGTTTAATAGTCCCTTAAACCCAAGAAGATTTGTTCAAAAATGAAAAGTTTTTCACTCGAAAAGATACTGAGAAAACCCCCACCTACTGTTCCAAGGTTATATTTGTAGACTGTCTTCTACAGGATAATATATCAAAATGACGGTGATCACTTTTGTTCACCATTTAAGGATCTGTGCTGTGACTGGAAATCAGTTTTTATTTTATTTTAAAAGATGACCAGTAAGGGGATCTTAACCCTTGACTTGGTGGTGTCAGCACCACGCTCTCCCAAGTGAGCTAACCGGCCATCCCTATATAGGGATCCGAACCCTTGGCTTTGGTGTTATCAGCACCGCACTCTCCCGAGTGAGCCACGGGCTGGACCTGGAAATCAGTTTTTAGGGACCACATCGATCATTTTATAATTTGGAAGACAGTGTTCTTAGTGTAATGTATATTTTTCATATCCTGCAAATGATCTGCTTATCCACAATGTGTGTCCAAGGAAGATGTTCTGTAGAATGAAGCCATTAGGGTTGCTGGCTGCTTGTTTTTTTCCTTCATCAGATTCCCTGCTCTTGTGTTGTTTGAATGGAACGAAGAGAGAGCCGTGGGACTTTGCTGAGGATGGGGGCTGGATTATGAGCATTTGTGCCCTGATTTATTTTAATCACTGCAGAGTTCGTTATATTCTTATATCACTGTTGACTTCCTGCCTCCCGATTAAACAGAGGAGTGCGGGATGGTGAAATACCCTTGTGCTTCTAAATAACTTTTTGAGACCTTGACTCTCTTTTGCAATTCGAGGTTGTTGTTGGAGCAGTTTAGTGATTATGTTCTTGGCTGGGCTGTGACCAGGTACTTGTGATGCCACCACAGCTATTACACTTTAAACAACACATGTGCCGGGGTTTTTAAGGAGGCTACCGACCTCTAGAAGAGATAGCAGTTTTCTGAAGGAGGAGAGGTGTTTTCAGGGATTAACCATTCTTTATTTTGTTGCTATGATAGCAGCATTTAGGGCAACTGCAGGTGGGTGCAGTGGGGAACACAGAAAGGAGAGAGACCCCATTCCTTCCACATGCCTGTGGGGGAGATGTAAACCTACCCTAATAAAAGGTATCCCTCGATTCAATCAGCAAATATTTACTGAATGGCAGGAGGAAAGAAAGACTGAGAGATAACATGAATACATAGATCAAAACTTCTTCAAATAGTACACCTTAACCATGTTTAAGTGTATTGTATTTCAATTATTCCTCAATAAATTTGTTAGGAAAAAAGTAGCATTTTGATTTTAGGCATCTACCTCCGAGGTGCTAGGCTTTTTGGGCTGAGCCTACTATATGCTTGATCTTATTTCATCACCAGAGATGCTTGTAAGGTAAATGTGATTATTGTCCCTTGATTACAGAGGAGAAAACCAAAGTTCAGCGATTTGGGGTGACTTCTGTAAGACCCCCTGGCTAGTAAGTGGAAAGTAAGCTAGTAAGTAGCAGATTGGTCTGAATGATAGGTTGATCGATTGAGTTGGTAATTGTATCGCGTGCCTGCTACAGCAGCTGGGCTGCGGGTGGTGTGAGCGTGGGAGACTGTGCCAAATTAAGGTCTAAGCACAGTGCTCTGGGGGAGCAGAGGGGAGAGATGATGCTACTTCTGGAAACGTTTTGTGGAGGGAGCTCATGCGATCAGGGTCTTAGAAACAGAGGAGTAGGAATTTGACAAATGAAGCTTAAGGGAAAAGGTGAGAAGGCAATGTATTATTTTTTATTTAAGTAATTTTACTAATCAGTTTCTTTTTTTTTTTTTTTAAAAGATGACTGGTAAGGGGATCTTAACCCTTGGATTGGTGGTGTCAGTACCACGCTCACCAAAGTGAGCAACCAGCCATCCCTATATCTGGGGGAGCAGAGGGGAGAGATGATGCTACTTCTGGAAACGTTTTGTGGAGGGAGCTCATGCGATCAGGGTCTTAGAAACAGAGGAGTAGGAATTTGACAAATGAAGCTTAAGGGAAAAGGTGAGAAGGCAATGTATTATTTTTTATTTAAGTAATTTTACTAATCAGTTTCTTTTTTTTTTTTTTTAAAAGATGACTGGTAAGGGGATCTTAACCCTTGGATTGGTGGTGTCAGTACCACGCTCACCAAAGTGAGCAACCAGCCATCCCTATAAGGGATCCGAACCCGCGGCCTTGGTGTTATCAGCACCGCACTCTCCCGAGTGAGCCACGGGCCGGCCCCTACTAATCAGTTTCTTAATTGAAAAATTAACCAGTACACATGGTGCTAAAAGAAATACAGTGTATAGGAAGACTCCCTCCTACTCGAATCCCTGGTTATTACAGCACTTCCTACCAAAGCCCAGCTGCAGTTCCAGCTTCTTGTGTATCCTGCTGGAAGTATTCTATGCATATTTTAGTGTGCACCCACACCAAATGCACGTTCACATACTTAAAACAAAAACATACCATATTTTGATGGATCTATAGAGGCTTTTCTGTGTTTTGCTTTTTTTCACTTCATAATAGATTATTATTTAAAAGTTAGTTGTCCAGAACATTGAAAAACTAATGAATTACTGGGAAGCACTTACCTACTTCTAATGAAGCAGAGCTACCAGTTTGTTCTTTAATTCAATGTACAGTTTTTAAGGGCCCACCCCTCGATTAAGCCCCATGATCTACCCTCAAAGAACTCACTTATTGCTCTAATTGCAATGATAATATAACTTTAGAATGCCAAAGTTAAAAATCCCTGCCTCTGTGGTCAATGATTTGCCCTGAGTCACAAATAACAGTAATGACTAGGATAAAATGATTGTTCCCGTGTGCTCAGCACTATACTAAGGGCTTTTATGCAGTATTTTACCTGATCTTTGTATTAGCCATAGGATTTCACTTTGTCATTTCCATTTTATGGAATGGAAAACCAAGGATTCCAAGGTTAAGTGGCCTTGCCTGGAATCAGTCAGCTAGCAAGCAGCAGAGCCTGGACGGGAACCCAGGTGGTTGGACTCCAGGACATGTTACTTCTATTAATTTGATGGGAAACGTTTATTGAACACCCGCTGTCCTGAGGGTATACTGAGAATTAGTACTTTATCTCTTGTGGTATAGTAAGAAATATATCTGGTCTCTGCCCCTGGTTCTGGCACAGAACTAAAACCCTTGGAATTTCCTAAGAGACAGGAGTGCCTTCAGTTCTTCATAAGAGCCCCTTTTCATCACACCTGACTTTATGCTGATGAGGTGCCTCAGCACCAGGCTGCTCAACAGAAAGACCAAGTGATTAGAGGGTTAGAACTTTTATCCCCACCCACCGACCTTCTGGAGAGGGATTAGGGTCTGGAAATTAAACTCTGTAAAAACTCTTGAATAGGAAGATTTCATGAGCTCTGGGTTGGTGAACACATGGCCGTGCTGGGAGGGTGGGGCGCCTGGAGAGGGCATGGAATCTCCTTGTCCACCACGTGACTTTGCCTGTGTGTCTTCCTGTCTAGCTGTCCCTGAGTTGTATCCTTTATAATAGACCAGTAAATATATGTAAAGTGATACCCTGAGTTCTATAGGCCATTCTAGCCTGTTGGTCAGAAGTATAGGTGGCTCAGGGCTTATGACTGCTATCTGATGTAGGGGTAGTCTTGTGACACTGAGCCCTTAAATCTGTGGGTTATACCACTAATTCCAGGTAGCTAGTGTTGGAATCGAATTGAGTTATTAGACATCCAGTTGGGGTCTGGAGAATTATAGAAAGGTTGTTAGTTTTAGAAAATAGCCCAAACCCATTTTACAGATGGGGCAATGGAGGATTATAGAGGTTTCTGGAACTTGACGCGCTATCAGTTTTTGGTGGAGGGTGGTGAGGGTGCCCTGCTTGAAGGAGGAGCCAGGTGCAGCATTGATGAGTTTTCAGTGAACAGAGATGCTCAAAAGAAGATCGCACGTCCTTGCTGTCCCCCTGGTAGCCAGTGGTAACCAAGCTGTCTGCTCCTCTTTTCCCAGGGATGATTGGCTACGGCATGGCCAAGGGTGCCGTTCATCAGCTCTGCCAGAGCCTGGCCGGGAAGAACAGTGGCATGCCACCTGGGTCTGCCGCCATCGCCGTGCTCCCGTAAGTGCGGCGGGTTCCCACCCATTGCCCACCTCTCCACTGCTGAGAGTTAACATTTGTCTAAGAGTCTCTGTCCATCAGGGACTTGTGCGTGCCATCACCTTGGGTTCTACAATTCACCAAAGACTCTGGAGATACCTAGTTTGTTTAGGCTGCTGTAACAAACTACCTTAGACTGGGTAATTTACAAACAACAGAAATTTATTGCTCACAGTTCTGGAGACTGGGAAGTCCAAGATCAAGGTGCCTGAAGAATTGGTGTCTGGTGAGGCCTGTTCTTCATAGATGGGGCCTGCTGTGTGTCCTCACATGGCAGAGGGCTAACGGGCTTCCTCAAACCACTTTTATAGGGCACTAATCCCATGCATGTGAGCAGAGCCCTCATGAACTACTCACCTCCTACAGTCCCCACCTCTTAATACTGTCACTTTGCAATTATGTTTCAGCATAGGAATTTGGGGGGATATATTCAGATAATAGCAATACTTCTTCAGGTTTTAGATTATCCTGGGCCGTCCAGAATGGTTGATTGGCTGGTGGGGAAGGGTCTGTCTCTCTTGCCTCCTACTTTCTTGTTTTCTTTCTTTCCCATTCTTTCCCGCCTTCCTCCCTCCTGACTTCCTTTAGAAGTAGTCTGCACATTTTTTTTACTCTATATAGTTTTGTCTTTCAAGTTGTTATAAGGTCAGTGTGTGTGTGTGTGTGTGTGTGTGTGTGTATGTATGTATAGGGGAGGACATGGGACAGTGGGGGGATGAGGGTGTGTCAGAGAATATGGGAAACTGTGGGAGACATTTCTATTTGTGATCACGAGGAAAGTCCTCAGTTGGCTGTCCCAGGTAGAGGCAGCTGTTTTGGAGGTGGAGGGTTCTTTCTGGCTGGAAGGATTCCAGCACCAACTGGCTCATCTCTTGCCGATGGTCCTCCACAGGGCACACTGGGACTGCTCAGGGACTGTGCTGACTTTCCAGCTCCTTTTTAGCCATGAAGTTCTGAGATTCTGGGATCTGTTCCCACAGCTATTTTGAATGACCCCTAAAGCCTGAATGTTCTTGGGAGATTCATACATATCTGACTTGTATATTCTCTTGCTGAAAATTTTAAGGTTTCATGGAACATAGCTACATGTTTAAAAACTTAGTATTTCATTAGTTCTATGTTTAAAGGAATATTATCACACTTAAAAAAATCCTTAGAAATGTGTCTGCCACATTTTAGGGTGCGAATGAAGACTTAAAATAATTTAACTTCAGTAAGGATCATATTTGAAAGGTAAAATGTGGTTCTTTCTATTTTGTTCTTGTCCGCCTAAAGAGGGTTCACAAAGTGCTTTACTGAGTTCAGATGTGATCTTTGTTAATGTGGATTCTCTGTGATTATTCTCCTGTCACCCCATGTAAATGTCACTCTTGGTGCCAGAGACTCACAGTAGAGACACTGCACGTTTGCATTTTCCTGCCTGAGGAGGACTGGGCACCTGTTATTATAAAGGTGCTGTGCAAATGACAGGCTTATCTCTGTGCATTGCAGGGTCACCCTGGATACCCCAACAAACAGGAAATCAATGCCTGAGGCTGACTTCAGCTCCTGGACACCTGTAGAGTTCCTGGTCGAGTGAGTATTACTGTAATATCAGTGACAAAGCCTCTTCTAGCCCCCGTCTCTGTCTGTGTGGGCTGGAGGACAGGCCCATGTTCTCTTGGATTATTAACATGGGTTGTTCTGTGAGGTTATGGGGCCTCTGAGGACACATCCCACATCAGATAGAATCTCAGGGAAGCTGGATTTGGAGATGGGCACTGGGCAGGTTGGGGTAGGGAGCGATAGTGCTGGTGTGAATCCTGATCCCCTCACTCATCAGCTGACCAAACTGAGCACGTTATTGAACTGTTCTAGGCCTCAGTTTCCCCATCTGTATAATGAGGTTTGTAATGATTGCTAGGATTAAATGTGGTTGTGTGTGCTAAACTCTTGGCACAATGTCTGACCTGTAGCAAGGGCTCAGGAGGTCTCAGTGTCTGTTAATGTCATTGTCACTTTGACTAGAGGCAGCTGTGTGGGAGTAAGACACTGGGTAGAATGTTGGGGTCATGTGTTTGGATCAGTGCTGAGCCAGGGACCCACAGACAGTGGCCTTTGTTTCCAAAATTGTTCTCAACCGTTTGTGAATATGGGTGGCATTTGAGAGCTTATGGGAGAAAGAGTTGATTTACTTTTTTGTCTTTGCCTAGATCTCAGTCTCCCAAACCCCTCTATTTGGAAAGCCTGTGTTCCTTTCTTCTAGAAATCACACATACCCATTCGTGGTATTTGAATGCTCGCCAGAGAAGTTGGCATAAAGTTTGCTTTGTGGTGCCTGTAAGCACATGTGTTCCCTCTCACCCACTCTGAACTGCTGATGCAGGTGAAGGAGAGGCAAGACACTTGAAAACGAGCAGAATTAACACACAGCTCCCTTCATGTCCAAATGTGCCCGGTCTCTGCACCCCTAGCTGAGCCCTGCCCTGCCCCCAGGGGTGGGGCCTTGACATAGTACAGTATTGCAGGGAGTTTTAGCCACACTGTGTTTTTGAGCGCTTGGACTTCCCTGGGTTTGTGCAGCCCCCAGCGTGGGAGCTTGAGTGAGTTGACTGTTAAACATCAGCTCTAGCCTAGAAGGTTGCAAACGGCACTAAAGAATAGCCCAAGAACTGCGCATTCTCCAGTTAAAGAAGGTCTGCAGTCCCAGCTGGTGAATTGTCAAAGTGGATGATGTACTCAAATGTAAATGTTCTGTTTTAAAAAATTACCATCTACTTGTTATTCCTTGTGAGTTTGTTGTGTCCTTTTTCCCTGCCTTCTTAGAGGGGTCTTCTCAATTGCGCCCGGCAGGGGCAGCTACCCCTCTCCACACAGAGTTAGATGTTAAATGCCCCCATTACTGTGTTTAACATATTTGATGGTAATAGTCTGTTTTTCGGATCTCTTTTTTCATTGCTTGGCACAGCCATGGGTACTCCATAAATGTTTGCTAAAAAAAAAAAAAAAGAATTTCCTCTCTTCTCTCTTTTAAATTTCTGAAAAGATAATATAGCAAAGTATAAAGTTTTGTGCATATGTCTGCCTCTTAAATTTAACGAATTAGAATCTTTTTAGTCACTTAAAATCATACCACTATGTTATAAAGAATTCCAGCCATGCAGAAAAATACAAATTGAAAGTTAAAATCATTCCAAGTCCTGCCACTCAGAAATTAAACTGACAAAATACTGAACTCATTGGGGACCCGGGTGTGTGTCTGTGACACTAAGTGGCTTTTTCACAGCTGCTGTTGTATCTCCCTATCCCTATCACATCTACTAATGTGACTATTAGCATGTATGTATCCAGATTGTTGCTTTGAAAATATAAAACTTGTCTTCTTTGTTCTAGAACTTTCCATGACTGGATCACAGGGAAAAACCGACCGAGCTCAGGAAGCCTAATCCAGGTGGTAACCACGGAGGGAAAGACGGAACTCTCCCCGGCATATTTTTAAGCTTCATTCGCAATGCCTTCGAGGGTCCTGCTAGAAAAGTCACTAACCTCTCAGTGTGTCCTCGTCCGGCCCTGTGTTATCTGTAGCCCTGTTCATGGTACAAGATAGTGAATCCTGTTTTTTCCCTCACCTAATGTGCACTTGCTCTCCTAGGACAGTGTAATATGTTTATGTGAAATAAAAACGTCTGAGAGGGCTGGCTGATTAGCTCAGTTGGTCAGAACGCTGTGGGCACTGAGGTAGAGGGTTCAGATCCACACACTGGCCCAGTCTCCAAAAAGGACAAAAAACGAATGAGAGTTGAAGCCTGCAAATAGCTACTGTCAACCTGCGTTAACTATATAAAGAGGTCTCTGATCAGCCCTGTCTATACTGGCGGCACGTTGAATTGCTTTTGGGACTTTTTCTTTCCCTGACAGTGGCTGTCACCTTGGAGGTTCAGTGATTTGATGGTATTGGGGGAATTTTGAGGACTGAGTTATTTTTGAATGTCATGTTTATGTCATAGATGTAGTTTTTGTAGCCTTGAAGTACACTGCCTTAAACCTTTTTGTGGTGTAAGCAAAATCCCGTGGATGCTGTCATGGAATCCTTTTTCTGTGCCATTGCCAAGTGTCCCCTGGCCTAGGGCTAAGTGTGCAAGAGAACTAATACTTGTGAGTGTTTGGAGTGATTTTCCTAATAAATGGACTGCATTTATTGTGTTGTCTTCTTTAATCAAACCACGTCTTACACGCAGTGGTCATAGATGGGTGAAATAAAATCATGGGCTGCTGAAGGTCTTTTAATCTGGTATTCTCAAAAGGGGGTGGATTAAATCCTGAAATAAATTTTTCGTTACAGTAACAGAGGCCCGATTCTGTCTGGGACATATTAGAATCCGAGGATGCGGGGAAGTCCCTGTGCATTTAGAAGCAACTTTCCATGTGACCGATGTGGGCTACTGTAGTTGAAACTAGTGATCTAATCGAACCTAGTCGTATCACACATGAGGAAACAGTCTCAGAGAGACGATTACTATTGTCATTGCCAGTAAGTGGCAGAACTAAACCCAAAACCCCAGTCACCAGATGGCCACTGTTTATTAAGTCCTTTATTATGCTTCTTTCTAATATTATTTCAGTGAGGCAAAATTCACATAACATTAAATTAATGATTTTAAGGTAAGCCTTTGATACGTTGCCAGTATTTAATACCCTCTATCTATTTCCAAAACCTTTTCAACTCCCAAACAAAATAAAATCTGTGTCCTTGAAGCAGTTCGTTCACATTCCCTCTCCCTGAGTCCTCTGCAACCACCAATCTGTATTCTATTTCTGTGAGTTTCTCTTTTCTGGATATTTCATATGAATGCAGTCATACAATACATGACCTTCTGTGTCTATCTCCCTTCACTTAGCATGTTTTGGATATTCTTCCACACTGTAGCATGTATCAGTACTTTATTCTTTTTTGTGGCTGAATAGTATTCCATTGTATGTATCTACTGCAATATTGCTTATCTATTGATCCATTGATAGACATCTAGTCTGTTTCCTCTTGGCTGTTGTGAATAGTACTGCTGTGAACATTCGTGTAAAATATTTGCATACCTGTTTTAATACTTTTGGATATATACCTAGGAGTGGGATTGTGCTGTCAGATGGCAATTTCTTTGTTTAACTTTTTGAGGAGTCTTTTTTGATTCTTGTCACTATACTTCAAGGTGATTTTGTCTCAGTATTTCAGGAAAGAAGATGGGAGCTCAGGGAGGACTGATGGTTTAAAGTCACGCACCTAGACAGCAGCAATCTGGAGCTGGAACACAGGTCCAGCTGTTGATAGCACCCTGTACAGGTTACTCAGTGCCTCCTGTGCCCATTTCTCCATCTCATCCTCCAAAGAAAGAATGCCTAGGATTGATGGTTTCCATTTTTCAGGTGAAGAACCAGTCCTGTAAGTTAAGTGACTTGCTGAGAGTTCAGTGAGTTTCAAGAGAGCTGGTGGTTTTCATTCCATGCAGAAACTAGACCCAATTACTGATCACTGAGGTGTTTCTTTTCCTTTCCTTAGGCCTGCACAACCTGCTGATGTACAAAGAGGATAGAGTGGGAAAGGGGTATAGGAGGAGAGGATGTTTTTAATTTCTGCTTTAGCCACTCATTCCACAAGTAATTTTTGAGTACCAGCTATATACCAGGCATTAACCTAGGTGCTTGGGACACATAATGAACTAAGTAGACAGAGACCCCTGCCCTTAATAGAATTTCATTCCAGTGGGGGAGAGGGTGACAGACTGTAAACAATAAATGTAATATAATACGAGTACATTTTAGAGTATGAAAAAGGTGTGAACTGTGGGGGAAGAGAAGCAAGGTAAGCGGGTTAAGGAATGTTGTTGGAGAGGATGAGATTATAGTTTCAGATAGGGTAGTGTTAGGAACTGAATGTTTGTGTCTCCCCAAAATTCATATGTTCAAGCCCTAACCCCCAGTGTGCCTGCATTTGGAAAAGGGGCCTCTAAGGGAGTAATTAAGATTAAATGAAGTCTGGCCAGTTAGCTAAATTGGTTAGAGCATGGTGCTGATAAACCAGGATTCAATGCCTGTACCAGCCAGCAAAAAAAAAAAAAAAAAAAAAAAAAAATGAAGTCATAAGGGTGAGGCCCTGATCTAATAGGATTAGTGTCCTTACAGGCAGATACACCAGAGAGCTCTCCCTCTCTCTTTCCATGTGCATACACTGAGGAAATGCCATGTAAGGACATAGCAAGAAGGTGGCTGTCTAGAAGCCCAGAGGAGTCCTCACCAGCTAATGATTTGGCTGGAACCTCCATCTTGGACTTCCAGCCTCCAGAACTGTGACAAAATAAATTTATGTTGCTGAGCCACCCAGTCTGTGGTGTTTTGTTATGGCAGCCCAAACTAGTGCAGGCAGTGAGGGAAGACCCATGAGGAGGTGACATTGGAACATTTCATAAAGAAAGTGCAGAGGTTAGGCACTTGAATATCTAAAGTAAGGGCGTTTTAGATGAGTCAGGCAGTGCAAAGGCCCCAAGGCAGGCCTGTGCCAGGTATGGCTGAGGAGCATGAGGAGGTCGTGGCTGGAGTAGAGTGAATAAAGGGGAGTTTTGGGAGGCGAGATCAGAGAGATGATTGGGTAGGGCAAAAGTTCCCAAACTTCCTAGGCCCATGGTGCCCTTAGTGTCTCAGTAATATTTCATGATGCCCCTACATCAAAGAAAATACCTAACAGTTTGGGTTTATAAGTAGTTAGGTCCTAACAATTTAATAGTAGTATTCTTATTAATATTGCTGGGCTAACTTAGAAAATGGAAAATGTCCTGTAGTGTCCCTATGAATTCACCGTGCTGCCCTGGGGTGCGTTGGTGCACAGTTTGAGAATGGAAATGTAAGGTGATAGTGGCCATTTTAGGGATTTGGTTTTGGATTTGGGGAGCCATTGTAAGAATTTTGAGCAAAACAGTGATGTAATTTTAAAAATCTTTTAAAAGATTGCTCTGGCTGTTGTGCCGAAGCTATTGCAATAATCCAGGCAGGAAATGACAATGGCTCAGTGGTGGCAGTGGAGGTGGTGAGGGGCAAGTTCAATAATGGTGTATATATTGAAGGTTGAGTCAAAAGGATTTCCTGGTGGATTTAATGTGAGAGTGAGTGAGAGGAGTCAACGATGCCTCCCAAGGTTTTTGATAAGAGTGAAAGGAAGGATTGAGTCGTCAACAAATGTGATAGAGAAGGCTGTGGATAGGGCAGGCTTTGTTGGGAGTATCTGGAGTGTGGTTTTTTTTTTTTTTTAATTGAAACATAATTGATTGTACATATTTGTGGGATACCATGTTGAATATCAATACTTGTGTGCAATATATGATACTGAAATCATGATAATTAATATATTGAACATTATACAATATAATCATATTTTATGGTCCTCTACCAATTTCTCACTAACTCTCTCCTATCCCCCACTCCCACCCCTTCTCACCTTTGGTGGCCTCAGTTCCATTCTCTCCTTTGCAAAGTTCAACAAATTATTGTGATTGTTATATCTTTCTTTCTTTTTTGATTTATTCATTTTTTTTTTTTAGCTCCAACTTATGAGTGAGGACATGAACTATTTCTCTTTCCGTGCCTGGCATATTTCACTTAATATAATTTTCTCTAAGTTCATCTATGTTGCTGTGAATGGCAGAATTTCATTCGTTTTTTATGGCTGAGTAGTATTCCATTGTGTAAATATATTGCATTTTCCTTATCCAGTCATCCAATAATGAACATTTAGGTTGGTTCCATATCTTGGCTGTTATAAATAGAGCTGTGATAAACATGGGAGTGCAGATATCCCTTCAACATGATGATTTTCATTCCTTTGGGTATATCCCAGCAGTGGGATCACTGGATTATATGGTATCTCTATCTGTAGTTGTTTAAGGAAACTCCATACTGTTTTCCATAATGGGTGTGCTAATTCACAGTCCCACCAACAGTGTAGGGGTGTTCCCCTTTCTCCACATCCTCACGAGCATTTATTATTCTGTCTTTTTGATAATAGGCAGTGTAGCTGGGATGAGATGATATCTCAATGTGGCTTTGATTTGCATTTCCCTGATGCTGATTGATGTTGAGCAGTTTTTCATGTCTGTTGGCCATTTGTATGTTTTCCTTCAAGAAATGCCTATTCAGCTCCTTTGCCCATTTTTAAATTTTTTTTTTTTTTTTACTGTTCAGTTGTCTGGGTTCCTTCTATATTCTGGAAATTATTCCTTTGTCAGATGCATAGTTTGCAAATATTTTTTCTCATTCTGTAGGTTGTCTTTTTGCTCTGTTAATTGTTTCTTTTGCTGTGCAGAAACTTTTTAGTTTGATACAATCCCATTTGTTTATTTTTTGTTTTGTCGCCTGTGCTTTTGGGGTCTAATTCATAAAGTCATTGCCCAGTCCTACTTCCTGAAGTGTTTCTCTTATGTTTTATTTTAGTAGTTTTATAGTTTATAGTCTTATAATAAGTCTTTAATCCATTTTGAGTTGATTTTGGTATATGGCAAGAGGTACAGGTCAAGTTTCAATCTTCTGCATATGGATGTCCAATTTTCCCAGCACCATTTATTGTAGAGGCAGTGTTTTTCCCAATGTATGTTCTTGTTGCTTTTGTCAAATATCTGTTGGCTGTAAATATGTGGGTTGATTTCTGGGTTCTCTATTCTACTCCATTGGTCAGAGTGTCTATTTATTTGTCAGTACATATTGTTTTGGTTATTATGGCTTTGTAGTATAATTTGAAGTCAGGTTGTGTTATGCCTCCAGCTTTATTGTTTTTGCTCAGGATTTCTTTGGCTATTTGGGGTCTTTTGTTGTCCCATATGAATGTTAGCATTGTTTTTTCTATTTCTGTGAAGAATGTCATTGGTATTTTGATGGGGATTGCATTGAATCTGTAGATTGCTTTGGGTAGTATGGATGTTTTCACAATGTTAATTCTTCCAGTCCGAGAAGGGAATGTCTTTCCATCTTTTTGTGTCCTCTTTAATTTCTTTCAACAGTGATTTGTAGTTCTTGTTGTAGAGGTCTTTCACTTCCTTGGTTAAGTTGATTCCTAGGTGTTTTATTTTTTTGGTGACTTTTGTAAATGTGCTTGCTTTCTTAATTCCTTTTCTGCTAGTTTGTTATTGGAGTATAAAAATGCTATTGATTTTTGTATATTGA